CCTTCTTTCTTCCCTCCCTCCCTCCCTCCTTCCCTCCCTCTTCTTTTGTTCCTCTATCCTCTCTCTCCTTCTTTCCTCAACCCAGCAAGACTAAACTGGGAACACAGAGAGACACTATTCAATGTATAAAATGATCTGTGTAACTTAGAGTGCTCCTGTCAAAGAAAGAACTAGGGAAGGGAGTAATGGGAATTGACTTCCAATGCATCAGAGGGCTTCCTAATGAGAAAGATTCTCATATTTAAAGTGCATAGAAAGTTCTCTGCTTCTGGATCCCCCAAAGTATTTTAGCAACCACGGTCCTCGTCCTTTAGCCGGTTTGTTCTATTTTCATTGGTGATGCTTCCGAGCCAAACTAACTGTGGTAGGTGGGTGATAGAAGGGCTACCGCTGATATTGGTTTGCCTCCATCAGCCCATCATGTATTTCATGCTGAGGCAGAAATGTACAATCAGTGATTCTAGGTTTTCACAGTATGGACCAGGGGTAGGCAACCTTGGCTCTTTTATGACTCGTGGACTTCAACTCCCAGAATTCCTGAGCCAGCATGGCTCAGCATGGAAACCTCTCCCTTTCTCCACAGAATGGCTGGCTCAGGAATTCTGGGAGTTGAAGTGCCCGAGTCATAAAAGAGCCAAGGTTGCCTACCCCTGGTATGGACCAAAGGACCTTTGCGTCAATTTCTGCCAAATTTGACATTTTTAACACAATAGAATTGTTGAACGTACGAGGAGCGATCATGTTAGCGATTCTTTACAAATTAAATTAAATGAAAGCTTTTCTCCTGGTCCAACTACTTCCTTGCCCTGGGCATAGTCACAACGTGCAACTCAAAAGCCAAGTAGGTGACACGATTAGCCAGTGCTCAGCAAAAACATGGCTCTTTTGGGATGAGTGAAGTTAAAGTCTTTCCTTCTCTCTGTCTCTGTCTTCTTTCCCATTTTCCTTTCTCGGACAGATTAGAGTATTTCAACAGCAAACACTTGCAGAAATATTTACTCCGGGAATATATGCAGCCCAAGTCAAGCATTGTTCTTCTGCATGAGAAACTGGAGAGGAAGCGTGCCATTGAGTTAGCTGAAGCAGGTCGGCTGTCGTGGAGACCTTCCCGTAAAGCATTGCTGTGAGTCCTTCCTTTCTTCAGTTGACAGTGAGATTGCCTTTTCATCGTGGTACACACACACACACACACACACACACACTCAAGGAGATTTACTTGAGACTCTCCATTTTATCTTCACAGCAACCTTGAGATATAAACTGGCCTGAATGACCCAAAGCCACCCATTGAATTTTTGGTGGTTGAAGGTTTGACTTGAGTCAGCATCCCTTAAAGCAGTGGTTCTCAACCTTTTTAATGCCGCGACCCCAACCGGTCGTAAGTCAAGGACTAAACCGGTTGTAAGTCGAGGACAAAACCGGTCGTAAGTCGAGGACTTTCCAACCGGTCATAAGTCGAGGACTTTCCCTGCCCGGGAGCACCACGCATGCGTGGTTCCGCCCCCTGCGCCGGCTGAGGCGTAGCTGGCAAGCAGCAGAGACGGAGCAGGCCGACCACCAGCTGGCCCAGCCCAAGGGAGGTAAGGCACCCGCCGGAAAAGGGGAAAAAAATGGCGGACAAAAAAAATGGCAGACAGCCTTGCTTGGCGACCCCCGTGAAATGGTCGATCAACCCCAAATGGAGTCCCGACCCACAGGTTGAGAACCACTGCCTTAAAGTCTAATCCAGCACCTTAAACTACAATTCCTCATTCCACTCGTTTTGACAGATACAGTACAGTTTCAAGCTTTTATGCTCTTTTGGAATTCATCTTTCTAAAACCGGCTGGTCCATCGACTTATAAATGAATGTTACCCCTTTTCTGTGATGTCTTGATTCCCCCCCTCCTTGTCTAGCCATAAGGACAATCCTGTCACCGTAGCTGATGACACAGACAGTCTCAGCCAAGATGAGGTGAATGACATCCAGAAGATACTGGAGAAGAACTTGTACAAAACAAGGAAGATGGTGAGATCTTTCTCCAATGAGAATATTTTCCAGGAAGGGAAAAGATCAACGGAAGCGTTGGAGGAGTTTCACCTAAGCTAGAGACTTGGTGTTGTGGGTCCTTATTGTTTTCTGAGCTTGGTTCAGTGATGGGATTCAAATATGTGAACAACCGGTTCTCTGTGTGGATGCTGCTTCTGGAAGTCCATTCTGGGCCTGGGAAACAAAAAATTAGCTACCGGTTCTGCCAAACTGGGGCGAACCTGCTGAATCCCACCACTGACTTGGTTGTTATTATCCAACTAGGTAATATCATCTGTGTTAGAAACCTTACTACTTTCTAACACTGAATAAGTTACCTAGTTTGGGTAATGAAACATCTGCAAGAAAACAACCAAGCTCAGAGAGCACCAAGGCCACCACAATTCAACTGAGCTACAAATATTCTATTGGCACTGATAGTGCCTGGCCCTACAGGTGATCCTTGCTTAACATTTACTCATTCAGCAAATGTTTGAATTTGCAACAACTCTGAACAAGTGGGACTTATGACCAGTTCTCTAGGTTCTGGCTATCACAGCATCCCCACAGTCATGTACAAATAAAAAATATTTGCAACTCAGGGTTGAAATGAAAGTTCCTTAGTGCTCTCTGAGCTTGGTTGTTTTCTTGCAGATGTTTCATTATCCAAAGTAGGTAACATCATCAATGCAGGTCAACTAGCACTGATGATGTTACCTAGTTTGGGTAATGAAACGTCTGCAAGAAAACAACCAAGCTCAGAGAGCATCCAGGATCCCACACTAGAGTCATGTGATTGCTATTTGTGACCTTCACTGCTAGAACTGCCATTGCTAAGCCGTGTGGTCATGTGAGGTCGCACTATACAATGGCATTGATTAGCAATGGAAATTCCAGTTCCAATAGTTACTACCTCTACAAGCGCCACAGCAATGTGAATTTCTTACATGGTGTTTATAAGGTCTCCCCCTCAATAAAATACAAAGGTTTTCTGGATTATTTTAAACAGCTGAAATCTCACAAGACCTGAAGAATGTTGGTGCTGCTGTCTAAAATGTTGAGACGTCGGCATTCTTGTTTTCAAACTTCACAGCATTCCATGTGAGAATGTTAAAACCTTTCCAAAACTTGGCCGTTCTTTATTATTCTGAATAAAAATGCTTGAATTACGGATGACCTGCAATACCCTGTTTGTATTTATTGGATCTGAAGACTGGGGACCATTGAATTAGACAAAAGCAGCTCTAAGATCCACAAAGATTTTGCAGGCAATTTTCAGTCAGTAGATGGGCAGAAGAAAGAAAGAAAGAAGGAACGTTTATTGATATTGGTTTGTTTACATTGCCACGACCAGGTGTCGGCCTATAATCGCTACACGCTTCCTCGGGAGCCAGAACCAGTGGAACAAGTCAAAGAGATTGTGATCCTGAGGCATCAAAGTTTGCAAATCTGTCTGGAGAGAAGTGGCTCGGACTACCTCAGGAAGGAGGTACATGGCTGTGAGGAGGTGGGGGTAGATTCAGATTACGGTCAGATGACTCAGCATTTGCTCTGGGCTAAATGTCCCAACCTTCTTGACTTGCACTTTTCATACAATGTCAGAATTTGCTTTACAGCTTGTTTCAACTGAGAAGAGAATTTTAGTGATCTTCTCTTGCTTGTGAAGCATGGTCAGTGGTGGGATTCAGCCAGTTCGCACCACTTCGGCAGAACCGGTAGCTAATTTTGGGTTGCCCAGGCCCAGAATGGACTTCCGGAAGCAGCATCCACACAGAGAACCAGTTGTTCACATATTTGAATCCCACCATTCCTTCCTTCCTTCCTTCCTTCCTTCCTTCCTTCCTTCCTTCCTTCCTTCCTTCCTTCCTCTCTTC